GGGATCCACCCGTCTAATAAAAGTCAACAATAACGGCTATATTTTCAATTTTAATCCGATTTTAATCCCTCCCATACAAGGTCTATATTTTTTTTTGCAAAGATGTCCATTTTATTGTCCTTGAATGGAATCATAAATTGTTGACTATGGTATTTTGGTCTATAATATATCAAAATGGCCATTTTTGTAAGGATTTTTGAAAGTTGCCATTTTTGAAAGTGGCTAGAAGAAAGTGGACATTTCTTGCGATTTCCACTTAATTTGGTAAGTTGCTGCTGAAATTTCTTGAGAAATGGGCTGGAATTAATGGTTATCTACCCCCTCTTGTTATAGGATTTCAGGAAGTCTGATTTGACTAAAAACACCCTTTTGGGACCCCAAATCTTGTCACTATTTACTCCATGATGGAAATTACGTCGAGAAAACTTGTCAACTAATGTATTGTAGCCCCATCTCTTAGCCGTCCATCAATTTGACATCCCTACCAAAAGTCATGCCCCAAAAACCAAACCTTACACAAAGCGCGATAGTTTTTTTTTTAAGCAAAAGACTTGGACTAACAAAGTCTCTCTCTTATTCTACCAACTGCTCACATCTCGTGTAGACTTTTTTGACTATCCTTTCCGTATAGACTCGATCTTGTGTCTAAAGCCTGTTTACGGAAAAATAAAACACATTTCGCAAGCTTGAATCCCTCACAGCCAGAAAGGAGAGTATAGTAACTTGCTGGCGAATTTCCTCTATTGAACATCTTGGACTTGGCAATTTTGGGCCTTTTCTGCTTACTCCTTTTGGACCTCAGCTTTTAATTAAAACAAAAAACAATCTGAAAAATACTATGCGCAAAATAATTGTGTTTAAAATACCACAAAAGCTTCATAAACTTGACAATTGACATTATTTTACGTATGTCCGAAATGTATTTTCATACGCTAAATAATAGAAATATTTCTATCTTCTGTAGGACCTAATGTTGTTTGTTATTTGTGCTAGAAACTTGATATTCCAAAAATAAATTTTAAAAATGACCAAATAATAGGATGAAAATTAATTCAATAACAACCAATAAATTAGCAAAAATTTAAATGAACAATTTATTGGATTAAAGAATTAACAATGTTCCATCAAAATTTAAACAACTAAAAGGTGTAGTCTATCATGTTTTGATTACAAAAATACAAGATAAATAATGAATACATAACCAGACCAATTTGAAAGAAAAGAAGAGTACAATCCTTAATCTTGAACTTCTTCAATGATTGTAGAGATACATTCTTCTTGTTAAAAAATATTTAAGAGCATGTTTGTGTCAGATTTTAGTCAAAGTCAAAGTCAAACAATCAATATTAACCAAATCTTTTATGAGTCTCACATCTTTTCAACCACACATTTCAAAAACTTGTATCACAATCAACTAAAAATCTAATTTTAATCCCCACCAAACACCCTATAAGTCTCCTAATGATCTCTTATAAATTTTCTCCCAAAATTTTGATGTATGGAGTTCCCTTTGTTTGACCTAAATTACATATATTCACATTTTTCATTGGGTCTTGAAAGTTGTGCCATGAGATTACCAAAAACGACATTTATTGTAGGTCAAAAAATAAAAATCTCAAGTTGATACGGTCCAATCGAGATCGCTGTTTGAAAAATCGTGATCAGACGCGACTGCTATTTTGTCTAGCTTTGACATTCTAATTTCGAACTCTCATAATCCACAATTTTGAATTGCGATTCCCTTTTTTTTTTTTTTTTTATGCATTACACTCCAAATTCAACTATCTTTTAAATGGTACATAATTGTTACATGAAAATCTTTGTAACAAACTTCATGCTCGAATTTTTTTCATTTTGCTTCTTTTGGTCATTGCTGCTTAAACTTCCTTTCTTTTACATTAATAATATTTAGTCCTTGATTGAGTCCCCTTTTTTTTAAATGCACCCTTAAATAGTGTTTTGACCCAATTTCAATCACATTCTTATAACATAATATTACACATAAACCTAAATTTTTTTAACCACACATTTCTCATCAATATATTATTCAAAAATGCATTTTTTTAAAACAAAAATTGGGCTCAAACAAGCCCTTAAATTGAGGGTTTCCTCTATGGACAATATATAATAGAAGTTCGTCGTAATAAAATTTAAAAGTCTAAATAAACGTGCAAAACACATTTATCGCTTACCTAATAAATTGATAAACTTAATACTTACATAACAGACTCTCATAATAAGTAGATATCATCTTAAATTTGCACAAAACTTCTGCATTATATTATCTTTGAAGGGGGCAACGACCCATCAACCTACTTTTTTTTTTTATCAATAAATGTAAAATTTTATTGATCAAAATTCATGTACACATACATCGGGCACACTTGGGCAAAACAAAACAAATAACTCATACAATTACTCTGGGCGTACCTGGGCAAACAAAAAGAAAGGATGTACTAACAATAAGATCAATGACTCAATGTTAATGACTCAAATTGAATCAAGACGTGCAGATACTAAGGAAACATTACTTTGTATACGTGTATCTTAATTCATCTTACAATGCTATCCAATTGCAATCTAAGATCTTCAAAAATCTTTCTATTTCTCGCCGTCCAAATGTGGTAAATCGTGCTTGCAAGTGCAATCCTCTTGGCTTTGTTTTTCCAAGATGTACCACAAGCCTCCTTTTTTATCCACTTCAACACGCTAGCTAATGTAGAGAGTTTCTAATGCCAAGCTACTGTTGGATCTTTTCCCATAAGGGCGGTGATATGATCCCGGCTATGGGATTAGCTTGGAACTCGCAGAATTGATTTGAAAATGTCAAGAAAGCCCAAATTCAGGTTGGAGACGATAGAATCTTAACCCGAGCCTCACGATTCAAGAATCTAAGGTGTATTAAACCTTAGACCCGTTGGTATGTGAAAACAAGAACCTCGATTTGCTAATGTCACAAAAGGGTGCCCAATCCTTTGATAAGTTTTATGGATGAACGTCACAAATATTTAACATATTTGATAAGTTCGAAATTTCATGTAAGAACCCACGGAGAGAAAAATCTTAATTTTTATTCATAATGTCAAACCTTTTTTACAATGTAAAAATAAATCCTATTTATGGGTATGCAAAACCCTAGAAGTATGAAATATTTCGAAAATATTCTAAAAGATATTGTTAAATTAGAGTTCTAAGGAAAGTAGGAAATTCGTGGAAAATAAAATATTATGCCCTGATGTTGGGCGTGAGGGCGCAATACCCCCTGTAATAAGCGACTTCAGTTGGGCGCGGGGGCACCTAGGAATGGCGCGGGGGCACCACTATCGCGGGTTAAACTTTGGCTTCTAGGTTCAGCTTTGAGTATTTCGGTCATATCTTTCTCTTATGATATCTGATTGAGGTGATTCAAAATACGTTGGAAAGCTTACTTCAAGGGCTACAAATCTTCAAATTCGAACAGATTCTATACCAAAAATGGGTCTCAAAATGAAACTGAAAATTCCAGTGCTTTCCAACTCGTTCCGGCTTCCGTCCCCAACATGTTACTTGACCATTGGCTTGTTGTCTTCAATATTATGGCCTCCGTTGCTCGAACATGTAAATGACTAGCTTTATCAAAGCTTTGAAGTTTGTTGTCTTCAATATTATGGATTCTGTTGCTCGAACATGTAAATGACCAGATTTATCAACTCTTTGAAGTCTCGAACTTGACTCTACTCTCTCTCCAACAATCATCAAAATCTTGATAAATAGTGGCGCAACTCGAATCATATCAAGCGGTGTGAACGAACATTCAAAGAACAAGTGTTGGCCTATTTTCATTATTTGTCCTCAAAGAACACAATTTCGGTTAATATCCAAGTATTGTAAGTAGTCTTTGGTTAGAAGTTTCGATTGAGCACTTAACCACAGCAAAAATGAGTGTTTCTGTGTAATGCAAGATTTCCAAACATTACCAGCCTAAATATTCATAGTTCCTCTTGGTCAGAAGTAATCATATGCCTTACTTGTACAAAAATTACCCCCCGTAGTCCAAACTGTAAGTCTAGCCTTAGCTGCCTGAACGGACACAACATCAGTTTTTCCCCTTGCGTCTGCCTAAATGGATGCAACATGTTGTACTTGTGCATCATCCTGAATGACAATATTAGTCTATCCCCTTGCATCTACTTGAACGAACGTAGTAGGCTGTCCATGTGTGTCTGCCTGAACGAACACAGTAGGCTGTCCAAGTGCGTCCTTGATTTCCAGCAATTTTTTAAGTAGCAGCGGGTCATCTTTTCCTGGTGAAACATTCCAAATACTTGCCCCCTTTAGATTTGTGTGTAATATTATTTTATTGGAAGAAAATGTGGTTGAAATGAAGAAAGTGAAGAATGAGATGAGAATGGGTGCCAAACAAGGGCATAATTAGTAACTTCGGGCAACTATGAGCTCAAAGTTAAGTGGGATTCGATTTTCAATGGTTGTGCTACGTGTATATAATGGTTTATATACACACGATGTGGAGAAAAATGATTGGATCATAATTTTTTTCTCCAATTTCGTTTTGACACCTCATCTGAATGCAAATCATTATGTAACTCCGTTATGTATAAGTAACATTATTCTTTCAAAATTAGCAAAATCGGGCATATTCATGTAATACTCGTGAGATGATTAATATGATATATTAATATGTCGAAAAACATATGGAATTGAATGATATATTTGGATTAAAAGTTACAAACTTGAAAAAAGCGAAGAATAGGATTAAATTGTTGAACATTTGTCGCATATATGAAAGTGAAAAAATATTTGATTTATAAAGTGCAAGTCTCACCTTTAAGTGTGGGCTACGTACATTTAGCTCCTGTTTGACAACCACAATAAAAAAAAAAATTATAATAATAATCAAACTCGTTTTTAATCACATATTCTGACAATAAAATATTATACATGTAAATTCAATATCTTTTTTTTACTTTTTAATTATACATTATCCAAAAAAAATACATATTCAAAAACTAATTTTCTTTTAAGAAAAATACTCATTTTAAATTTTTAATGATCATCAAACGGGGAACTTTGGATGTTAAGACGGACCACAGTAGGGCTGTAAGAAAAAATCGTCAAACAGGAAAATCGAACCGAAACCGCATTTTAAAAACCGTAGATTTGGTGTCCACGAAATTTTTTTGAACCAAACCAAACCAAACCAAACAAAACTGGTGAAAAACGGTTTGATTTAGGTTTGAAAATTTTAATTGCGGTTTAAAATCAAACCGAACCGGTGAAAAAAAATATAAAAATGAAAAAATAAAAAATGAAAATTTCTGAAAAATCCAAATATGTAAAATTCAATAGTTTTGTCATGTGTGAGTATTTTTGTCAATTTCTAATTTTCTATTACATTAATTCAATAGTTTTGTCATGTGTGGGTATGTTTGTTAATTTCTAATTTTCTATTACATATATATATTATTATTATCTAATAATCCTAATTTATATCTAATCTCAATACTAACCTAATATATCAAAAGTCCTTTTCCTATTTAGAATTCAGATGAATTTTGAGCCACCAGCACTACACCAAATCAGAGACAAATAGATCCTAGGTCTTCGGTGACAATATTTGCTACGAATAAAGTTTCAGATCAATAATTTTTTGAACAAATTGAGGTAAGAAATCTGATATTATATGAGTTTCGCATTTCTCTCAACTATTGGATGATTGTGAAATATATTTATTCACTTTGATGGAAATGGTTTATCTACTATGTACATGATTATATTCTATTTTTGTGGACAAACTCTTGTTTTATGACTGAATTAGGCAAGATAAAATATGTCAATAGAAGTTAAAAAGTGTTTATGTGCAATTTGATATATGGATGAACTGTTTAATAAGCTAAAAGAAACCAACAATGACTACAGTGACAACTATACTTGCATCAATTTAATTGTTATGTTTTATTGTATGCTTAGATATTTTGTAAAACTGTTTCTTTAAGTATTTTGAATTAATAAAGATGATATCTATTCAGTTAGCCTATTAAAGTCTTGGATTTTGATCCAGTAGGCGTAAAGTTTATCATTTAAGTTGTTGCCTTATTGATGTCTCAATAACTGTATTATGTAACTATATGCTTTCAAATAAATATTTAGTTTACAGGTGTTTTCGGCCTTATATTTATTCTGTTAGACTTGTATTGCAACGTTATCGTAACGTCTTAATCTAAAAATGGTGAACAAAAAACTATTATTATGATTTCATTTGGATTTAGTTGGTATTTGAATTTATAGTAGATATATTTAGTTTTTTTATATTTATTGCTAGTAAGATATAAATATATATTGAATTTAATGAATTAATGACATAAAAGTATGCAGACAAAAAAATATACGACGAAACCGACGGTTTAAAACCAAACCAAACCGTTAGGTTTAGGTTTGAGTTTTTTTCAAACTGTTCGAAATGGTTTAGTTTACGTTTGAGTTTTTCTCAAACCGATTTAAGCGGTTTGGTTTGAAAATCTGTCAAAAATCGGTAAAATCGGACAGCTTACACCCCTAGACGGACGTAGAGCTTTAAAGATTGACGTCCAAAAAAATTATACTCCGTGCATCTGAAAATTTACATGGGATATAACTTTTTCGGATGTAAAATTTCAAAAATTTTGATGTTATATTCCTATAAAATTTCCTAATAAAATGATGAAAATTATATTGAGAAA